CAGTGATCGTCGTTATGGATTTGAACCCTTTTTAGGGCCCGGTGAACGAATTGGCTGGTTGCTCAACATGCACCCAACTGATGTACTGGACGAATCTAAGCGACTGGTTAGCGCGGTTGACTTTTATTTCATTCGCGAAGATGGGTCCCGATTTAAGGTTACCAGACCTTATTTACCATATTTCTTCCTCTCGATTCGCGGTGGTACTGCTGCCGAGCGTGATGCCACCACTTATCTACTTCGACGTTATTCCGGTCGTTTGGCAGGTGTGGAGACAGTTCAAAAAGAGGATCTGGATTTATCCAATCATCTAGTTGGGTTAAAAGCTTCCTATCTGAACCTTCTTTTCTACAGCGTTGACGAGCTAGTTCGAGTACGACGTGAACTAGCGATTCGGGTCCGAGCAAACCGTGAACTGACTAGTACTGAGTCTACCTATACCAATATGTTGGCGAAGCATTTTTCTGGCACGGCTGACCGCGATACAGGGAACCCATCAACAGACTCTTCTAANTCGTGGTGATCCATTGGACAACCTTATGGATATTCGAGAGTCTGATGTCCCGTACCTAATGAGAGTTTGTATCGACTTGAGCGTGTTCGCTGGCTGTTGGTATGTGGCACGATGTCGTCCAAGCCAACCAGTAGAACTGATCAAACACGAAGATACCGTGGCATGGCCAGAGCCGGTTGTTTTAGCCTTCGACATTGAAACAACAAAACTACCCCTCAAGTTTCCAGATTCCTCTATAGATCAGGTATGTCGATTGAACGTTTTTATGCTTAGAGTCTGAGTTTCATTGAGGGTAAACGAGCCAATTTTGTCCATCGCCATTCACACACTGTTCCACGTTGTATTTGTGTAACTTTTGTAAACCTATAGGCTTACATTTCACTGCCACGTGGAATGAAATATACTGTTTTATGTAAGAGGCAAGGTCAAGAATGTCCCTGAATTTTGTTTTATGTAGAAAAATGTTTTGATGTAGTTCACTTGCGACCTGTTTCTATTTGGTTAGAAATTGGGCCAGCCAGGGTACAGGGGGATTTTTATTAATGTATTAATATAATAATATTGTTGATGTGGACCGATGAAAACGACAATATGATAGATCAGGATGCAGTAGATGAAGATGGTCGTCTAGAAGCTTATCGGCAAATTTAACATAAAATTTGATGTGACCATCAATGAGTTCTGTGATTAATTAATCGATCGGAATTAATCATGCACGACTGATGCTCATCAAACCACGACGAATTGTTTTGAAGTCTTGTTTTAAAAGACCGGGAAACACTTCAGGGGAGCA